ACTTTAAGTCTCCAAAACTCTCCTCTCTGCTACTGGCTGGTTATTTGCTGGTAGCCAGTACCACCTAATCAATGCAATGCATGACATAGGCTTTGATTTTGTGTGGTGCGGTCATAAAAAAGCCAGACAATGCAGTGTTGCAATGAAAAGTTAACGAGTCAGATAATTTAAGAAAAATTCGAGAGTTACAGTAATAAAACGGTGTATGTAAAGTGTGCAGCATACATATAAAATACCAAAAAGTCATGTTTGTGGTCTTACTGTGATATTGGAGTTGGTGCAAAACCATAATCTAGTTGATTAGCTAGGTTTTCAATCTTAAAATCATCCCCCTTCCCCTCCCCTGGGATTGGGAGGGACCGGGATTAGTTCTTCTAGGATTGGGACAGGACAGGAATTTTCTTGTGGAATTGAAATTGGACAGGAGTGAAAATCCTTCACCAAAATCCGTCACCCTGTACCCGTCGGCTCACCAGGATAATGCCTGGTATGCTGTACCTGCCAGTCCAGTCCTTGTTCTTGCTTGGTAATTGCTCAAAAGTTACAGCATTAAAAAACAATAATGGGCATTAAATGTACTTACGTAGATACTTTGATGCTTCCTCTTTGCTGATTTTGGCTGTAGGCACGAGAAGTATCGGACACAATATCGAGCAATGTTTGTCATGAACTGCACCATAAACAAGGAGGAGGTTCTCCGGTACAAAACGCCCAATGATAAGCAGAGGAGGAACCGCCGCAAGAGGAGAGCAGGCTGCCAGGAGGCAGCCCCTGCAGGAGCAGAGCCGGAGGAGACGTACCATCCCGTGCAATGCGCAGAGTGTGCCACAGAGGTCGCCGTATTTGACAAAGATGAAGTTTATCATTTCTTCAACATACTTGCAAGTCACTGCTAAAATCCACCAAGTGACTGAAAAAATGCTTATGATTTACAGCAGACTTAATGTAGTGTTTTAATTTTCTTTATTTTTTTTTATCCTAGTGTCTGCTCTGTCATTGTCATGTCTTAACCATGGGGCAGGGGAAAAAATTGCCCTTTGTTTTGGTGGCCCTCGAAGTTATTGGAGGTTTCCTCTTAAGCAATGGATTTTTCCTGAGGTCCATAAGTCAAAGCTGGCCATCTAATATTCATTTTGATTGTAGTTAGATGTTAGCTATTTATTTGCTGCTACAAAATGACTTTTTTTAAACTGTTCTTCTTGATTGACACCTAGTAAGTTGTATCCGACTAACATAACCTGTTATGTACCATTTGTAATGACTATTATTTTCATATTCCATATCATTAAAATGGTCACCAGATTGTTTATTACATTATTTCAACATTGTTCTGCTAATCAGCACTGCCAACTCCGTTAGCCAGATGGCAAGTTCCAACGTCAGCTGTTTAGCAGATTACCCGTATTCCACGCTTTCCATTGTCATGTTTTATTGACTAAAAAAAATGTAAGTGGACCGCTTGGTGCCCTCTGTGTGCTGCTGGGTATGTGGGGGTTCTGACAGTTTATCCTGCTTTTTTTTTAATATCACATATTTGGACTGGGGTGTTTCCTAACCTTTTGATAACTATGGACCGGTTGTGTAAAAAGTTCTCGGACTGGTAAAACCTGTTGACCGGTGCTGAGGGTGAGGGGGGGGGGGGGTAGGTACTAGTGGCAGATTGATCAGGGAGACAGGTTTAATGTTTCCATTTCTGTTACGTTGACATACTATCAAGATGCGTGATCATCAGGGGTTGCAAAAAAAGTTTTGGAAATGTATTGTTTATTCTTGTAAAGGAACCAACCCTGCTTAAACCCCCAGTGTTCTGCAGTGCAGTACAGTACTCACACAGACAGGGGACTGGGAATCCCCAGTTTACAGTACACAGTACCAAGTGTCGGACATTGCCAAAGTACTGCCAAACTACTGACATATTTTTAATCTTATTTATCCACAATGTCTCCTTTTTAAAAAGCTAATATCACAGGACCTGCGATCACATGTCTTCGACACTTAGGGGAAGAGAGGAGCTGAGCTGTCAGCTGATCACCACTGGGTGGTAAGTTGGGTCCAATGGTGGGGGAAGATGCCAGATAGACCTGGGAGACCCAAACACATAGTGAGGGTGTGCTGGGAGCGTCTGGCAGAGGGCCCTGTCTGGGAGATCTTCTCTTGGATCCCAAGGAAGGCTGGAGACATTGAGCCTGAATGGGTGGTGCTCTGAGCCTCCATTGCTGAGGCAGCTGTGTGGGGTTGTGACCGTAAGGTGGTTGGTGCCTGTTGTGGTGGCAATCCTCGAACCAGCGATAAAGGGAGCTGTCCGGTTGAAGGAGGAGATGATCTGAGCTTGAGTAGCTTGTGGGTCTCCTGAAGCAGCTGACGGGCACCGACAGGCTAAGCGGAATGTGGCTTTGGCAGTTGCTGAAGCAAAAACTTGGGTGTGGGAGGAGTTTGGTGAGGATTCTGGCAAACAATCAGGCAACTCAGGAGGGGGAAACAGGGCTTTGCCCAGGCTGTTTCTAGGAGGGATGGGGATATAGTCAGACACGGGAAGTGGTACTTCGAGAGCCTCCAGAAGCCCACTGACACGCCTTCCTTGGAAGAAGTACTGTTGGAAGACTCAGAGCTCTGAGGACTGAGCCATCACTAGAGCTGAGGGCACTGAAGTAATCATCAAAAAGCTCTTGAGTGATAAGGCCCCAGGGGTGGATGAGATTCGCCTTGAGTTCCTGAAGGTTCTTGATACTGTTGGGCTGTCTGGGCAGACATACCTCTTCAACATTATATGGAGGGGGGATGGGAATTAAGCTAAGGTTATTTGTAACCTTAGCTAGCTACAAAAATTGAAACAAAAATGCTTGAGAGTAACACAAGAACAAGCATGATTTTATACTTGTATTCACTTCCAAATTTGGTTTTTGTTGTGTTTTGTACCCTTACTGTTATTGGTATGATTGCCTACATAAGCTGTCGGAGATCCTGGGTGGACCTACAGGGGGGCAAGAGGGGGCACCCCCCCACACTGTACAGACTTCCCCCCTAAATGCCCCTCCAAGTTTTCAGTTCTTAAAACTGTAATCATAAAAAAAAGCAATTGCCACTATGTCCATAAGTTGTTCAAATTAGGATATGCAGAGAAATCTAACTGTACTTAGGTACAGCACTGCTCTAAAACGTGAGCTCACAGCAATAGTCTGCTGCAGAGGAGAGGGGCCACTGAGCTGCAATGCATCTTAAAGGGAAGTCCGAGCTTTGCTGTCTGAAGTTTAACCAAACACATGGATTTAAGTCTAAGGTAAATTTGAAATTAATGTAATATATGCTAAATTAGCAATGTGTGGCTTGTATGCTAATAGTGACAATGAGAGTCCATTACTGTATTGTTAGTCAAAAGTAGGCTAAAGTTGCTTGCTAAATGGAGGTTAAAGATGCAATTTCTAGGAGCATTTTAGATTTAATGAGCTAGCTTTTGTTAGACAAAAAAAGCTGCAAAACACTAGTATGTTTGAATCCATAATGATTGAGCAGTATGAGTGCAGCTTTACAGCTTGGAGAACTTGTAAAAAATCACCTGCGCCGTACAACCATGGCAGATGACCGTCTGAGGAATCTAGCTATTCTTGGCATTAAGAATAAGCATGCAAGAGCACTTAATTTGCACATGCTGGTTTTTCTGCAGGGAACAACAACCATTGCCTTAAGCGGTCTTAAAAAAAAGTGTGGTCAGACATGACTAATGACTAGATGGGTATTGCAGAGCTGCAATTTTTTTGCATGAACACTGATTTTTTTGTTCCTGTTGTTGATTATTAAGATAAACTTGAGAAAGTGTGTATTAACATTATGTCAAAATAAATATTGTAAAAATGTATTTGTGGATCTTTTGTTGAGTACATTTACCTATAGAACAATTTCTACACAAGAGCTCCCACACACGGCCCTCCATGCCACCATGTCAAAATCTCTTGTCACTTCATTGCCACCCCGTGTATTTTTCTAGATTTGCCACTAGATTGGAGCATGGGGTGTAGGTTTCCATTGTTATGGGCCTTTGGGTCCCTGTATAAGTGGAGCGAAAGTTTGGTTCGGATTGCCAGCAGTAAGTCACTCAGTCTTAATGGGTGTTTAGCTCTGCCAGGGCTGCCCTTTGTCACTGATTCTGTTAATAGCCTTTATGGATAAAATTTCTAGGTGTAGCTAAGAGTCAGAGGGGGTCTCTTTTTTTGCTTTTTGCGGATGGTGTGGTGCTGTTGGCTTCATCGGTCTATGACCTGCAGCATGCACCCATGTGGTTTGCAGCTGAGATGAGGATCAGCACCTCCAAGTCTGAGTTCATGGTTCTCAATAGGAAATTGGTGGATTGCCTTGTGGAGGTTGAGGATGAGTTACTGCCTCAAGCAGAGTAGGTTAAGTATCTCAGGGTCAAGTGAAGGAAAAAGGGAGTGGGGGATTGATTGGTGGATCGGTGCAGCATCAGCAATAATGTGGACATTTTGTACCATTCTGTCATGGTAGACAGAGCTGACCAGTCAATCTACATTCCTACCTTCACCTATGGTCACAAGCTTTGGGTAATGACCAAAAGAATGAGATCGCAAGATACAAGGGGCGATCTTTTTACAACGGCCTTTGCGGGGGGAAAAATAAGTTATAGAAAATTTTAGTTTTTAATTGAACTTTTTTATCACTGATTTTTCACGATTATGTTATATATTGTGACGACACCTGTAGGCCATTTGTTATTTACCATTCCCGGTTTACTAAAGTCTATCAGGAAGTGCTCTCACTGTCACAATGAAACAAGACAGCTGATACGATAGCACAGCAAGTCACATACCGCCCTTTAAATTGACGTAATGTAAAGCTTCCGCAAGCGGGCAGATCACGCGGTTAATTCCGCGGGATGCCATTGGTCAGTTTCCTCGAAGTCTCTGGCTCTTGGTTCGTCAACCGTCTCTCCTCACCAGTGACGTAATAAGACATCGTAGGTGGGCGGTGTTACTGCGCTCCGCCAAGGATTTGCTTACAGCTACTACCAGCACCGGGGGTGAAAACCAATATACTCGAAACTGAGCTGGTATTTCGTTTGTAAATTTCGTTGACTTTGACTTACCTGTATTTCAGTAATTTCATGTCGGTAGGTAATCTTCGGGCTTATCACTGTGCGTGTGATTTTCCTGCGTCATACCAGGAAGAAGAGCGAGCAAGCACCTAGGAGGCTTTTAGCCGTCCGTCGGGAGATCATGGCGCTCGGAGATGCCTGGAAGCAGCTGTCCTGGATCTACTACCAGTATCTGCTCGTTACGGCTCTTTACATGCTGGAGCCTTGGGAGAGAACCGTGTTCAGTATCCTTTCTGTGTAATCGAAAGCGTAACTCTACTTCCAAAGCTGAAATGAGTTCCAAAGTCTTTGGGTGAGAGTCAGGCCAAAGTAGATAGGTTACTTTTTATCTGCGCATCATGTCCGGTAAACCGAGTGTGGGGCGCGGCTCTTTGGAGTTTTGAGTGATGATGGGAGCTGCTCTGATGTCATTTTACGTTGTGCTGAACAGTCAGGAATATCGTCATCTGAGGGAAGCACATTTGCCGGCTATGCTTATAGGTGCAGCAGGTTCCTGAAAAACGGAGTTATTTAGGCAACATTAAAAAGGTGACGCGTTTAGTAGACCGGTACTATACCTGTCTCCGACAATACGTTCATGGTCGCCGATCACCCAAAAAGAACTTGCTTCATGTAAGTCGTTCTGCTGCAAGTAACGGTTGCAAAGTTACATAAAATACTATATTTGCTTTTTTTCCCCCGTGGGAAGGACATAGCTGCGTGCATTAGGCCGTGTATAAATTGTCATATATATGTTAATGGTGGTTAGTGGTGATTCCTTAAATGTTATTAGGGGTCTGTCTGTAGTGTCTGGTGCTTGTTGCTGAAAACCATAATACAAAGTTAATATATTGCTGTTAATTATACATGGATTTGTAACTTATGTATTGCCTTATACTATGTTATATGTTGTATGTTAATGCTGCTGTAACAAGAGAATTTCTCTCTAAGGAAAAAATTCTATCTTAAGATCTGTGTAGACAAAGGCATGTGTCATGTATTATAAAATACATAGAATTCAGTGATCAGTGATCATTTTGACACACCACAGCACAACGAAATGTGTCCTCTGCATTTGACCCATCTGTGACATTATGACATAGCAGTGGAAGCAGTGCTTGGGTGCGGTACCTTGCTCAGGGTACTCCAGTGGTATCTTGCTATTCGGGGATTCAAACCAGCAATCTTTCAATTACAAGTGCGTATCTCTAGCCATTAAGACGCCACTGCCCACATATAACTTGTCCAGTCTGTTTATTTTAAATAACCTGTTACTTTGACTATCAGATTAACAGAACATATAAATATATATTTATTTTGTTGCTAGTTGATCCACTATCCTGGTGCTTGTTATCCTTGGACATCTTGAGGACCACATGGTTTAATAGATTCCTCTGTCCAGGGTTGCTATAGATCTTCCTAATATGTCAGCTTAATGCTGGGTGTTGGGTTCTTGCAAAACAGCCCCCCAGGCCACTTCCCTTTACTTTTTATCAGTAAGATCTTTCATACAGGCTGTTTTGGAAGGAGGGGAAGTCAAGGCAACTTAAAAAAGCTTCAGTGCCACTGTGACAGTGGCTTACAGCAGTGCTGAGATGGTAAACAGCAGCAATCAGACAGCAGGGAAAGCAATACCACTTTATTTGTCTGAAAAATCACCAGGCCTCTGACTGTTTGGCTTATTGACGGCCTGCTTGATTTCCTTACGTTCCTCTGATATCCCTTTTCTGTCATTTTAATCAACCTGCCGCTTGGTGTCGCTATTGTCCCTCTGCCTTACTACAGTTTGGACAAAACACTGTAATTCTCTCATTTGCAGAAGTGTCCCAGTAAATCTGTAAATTATTTGATTGCTTTTTAAATTCGAATTATTTTCATGTTTGTGACATGTAAAAATTGAAGAAAAAATGTGATTACAAAGCATATGCCCTGTTGTGTATTCCTTTCTTGATTCGCTCTAGTGTTTGTGATTTGTAGGCAATATTGTTGTTGTTGCTGTTCATGGGTTATTCAGGATTACTTTAAATCTTTGTTCACTAGGCATTTCTTTAACAACACTTCAGATTCTCTCCTGATTTCGGTGGCAGGAATGGCTGTGTACACAGGCTACGTCTTTATGCCCCAGCACATAATGGCCATCTTGCACTACTTTGAAGTGATCCAGGGATGAAGCAGTAGTGGCGACGTCCCATTGGCTGTCCACTGGAGCACGGTGAAGGATGGAAAGACGACTTTTATTTTGGAGATTCTTCAGGACGGTTCTGTGCTTACCAATGTTTAAATAACAGATATGATGGATAATCAGTGGAGAATGTATAAGACAGTTTGTATTTATTAAGGACACCATTCCTCTGTGTTTTTTTGAAACCTGAACTTGTGACCGCACAAACTTCTTTTTTTTTTGGTTCCCTTGACACTGTAAGTACAGATGTCAGTGTTAGACTTGCCTTATATTTTTGAAATTGGTGGCTCTGTTTTGCCAGCTCCCGAAATGTTTTGTCATGTATATAAATGTATACATATCTCTGTAAAGTTTTGTAGAAACTGCCTTAGAGAAGTGGTTTTTGCTACAGATCAGTTTGAGGATCCATTTTTGGCAACATTTCTCTATTTTCACCAACATTAAGACCTTAAACTTTTAACATTTTTATGTGTTTTAATGTGATATTTACTGTTTTTCATACAAGTCTCTCAGGTGTTTCTGCTTATGTAACTAGTATGTCAAAACATGCTTTAATAAATGATTGGATTTTTGTGTTTGTGACAGCTAATTAAGTATTTTATACTTAGTGACAGGTTGCATTATTGCCTTCAGATTTAATTTTTATCCTTGTATTTATGCATTTTTTAAATCTCTGCTGTATCTTTGAGTGTAATTGCACAATATTTTTTATTATTATTACACTCAAACCTTAAACACAGCAGGAGTTTAATAAGTGATGTAGTCATTGATGCCACCAACTTTAAATGTTTTTGCAGCGCAGAATTTTAGGAGCAGTGATTTCATTTTCGGTTTTGAATCCCAGCTCTGCTCTGTGTGTGGCTGTTTACCACCCTGTTTCATGCTGTTTTTCTCTCACATTCCAAAAACCCGATCTTGGGGACCCTCAGGCAGTCCACATTTTTGCTCCCTCCAGCTCCATGCCAGACAGTCCACATTTTTACTGCTGTCTGGGGGTCCCCAAGGACCAGGTTGGGATAGTTTATGGGTAGGTATGAGTGTGTGCATGTATGTGCCTTTCAATGGAATAGCATCCAGATAAACATCTCTAAAAGCAAATAGCATCCACAGGAATGATGACTGGAACATGGAGAGGGGAAGAATCATGAGTGTTTCTGTATGTAAATATCACATTCTGTATGGAGATGTGTCTATATCGCCCCCTGTTCTGTAGGTATCAAGTAATGTGCTTGCTGTCGGTCAGTTATGCTGGCAATCAGTCAGTCTGAACAGATTTCTGAAACAGATTTCTCACTTTTCTCCATTCTCTTTGAAGCCTAAAAAAACTGAACACATCAGTATATCTCTGTCCTGTTAGTCAATTTATTAACTATGTTATTAATTTAATTGATCATTTCTATTAAAGACTAGATAAATGTATGTTCAAAACTTAACAGAATTGCAAACAGTTTTTGAAAAATACAAGTACACTACACAATCTATATATATTTTTAAATATCAAAGTTAACCAACAATACCCAATACAAGACCCAGGAGTTGAAGGCAAATACCCTAATAAGTGTACTGTTACAATTCTAGCTGATTTTAGAGTGTGTGATTTGCAAGTTTCTAAATTATTTAAATTAAAATATAAACATTGGGCATTTCCATGCCATAGTTTTTCAGTTTACTAATTTACTTCTAATCACCACTTACCTGACACAAGGCACGTACAGTGGAGTGCTTGTTTAGTAGAGATAGCTTATTAGAAATGTTGTGATGGCTGACCAGTTTTTTCTGTGTGAAGAATAAAATGGAGTCTAATATTTTAAGCCAGGGTGTCCATACTGTGAATAGCTGTGGATAGTTACGCATATTCAATATGATTCCTGGGCTATTTACATTCACTGCATCAACCATTCTGGGCATCTAAAGTATATGGCTCTTTATATAAAAAAAAAAAAAAAACTTGCATATAGACATAAATAATTTGAAACATTGACGAATCATTAAATTTTTTTTTATATGAAATAGTATCGTAAAATTAAATACTCATATTCAAAACATTATGACCACTCCCACATGACGTGAGTAATGTTGACTACCTTGTAAAAAATGCCACATGTCTGGGATATATTACACGATAAACATTCGGTACTCGTAATTGACGTGTTGGATGCAGAACAAATAGGCAGGGACAAAGGCCCAAGTGGCTTTGATAAGTGTCCAATGGGAGACTCTGCTGGCCGAGGGGGTGGGGTCCCATTCGGCAAATTTTGCCAACCTCTGTAAATTTTGTGGATCAGCAAATTTTTCTAGGCAGCAAATAGGTTTGGCGAACCATGTGTCCATGCCACAGTTCCATGGCCCAGTTATTAAGAAACACGATACCCCTCCTCACATTATTGACCGAGTAATTAAAATTAACTTACAAGAAAAAGAGTAACACGGTTTAGGATAACAAAGTGCTTTTTTAAAGTTTTGCTGCACTTTACCATGGAAAGATCTCAGTCATTACTGGAGAACTTTTGACTACAGCTTTGGAGACAGATGGCTGATGTTGCTGATATATCAGGATGAGCACTACATACTGTATGGTTATACTGGCATGGCGGCCTGAATCAACGGACTGAAAATGTCCAGGGCATAGGTGTAAATCTGCACTTGCACAATTATATTGAAGCACAGGTGATCCAATGGGCAGATGAGTCGTCTGTTTTTTTCATTTGTTTTGCATTATCAACAGTTATTATTAAAAAAAAAAAACATACATACATAGAATATGACGAACATGAATATTTACACTCTGCTGGTATAGCATTGGGAGCTCCTCTCCTGCAGCTTGTAGAGTCACAAATGGAGGCTATGACTCCTTGGCTTCAGTGCTGAGAAGGATGTCATTGTAAATCACACTGACGGAGACTCAGGAGTTATGTCACTGCTTTTTATCTGTTGGATCCCTGGTGAGTACTGTGAATATAGTACTGCATGTACTGTTACATTAAGAAATGCACTTAACATCTGTTTTTTGAAGCCTCTAGAGCAACACTGTCTCTACAGAGTAACACCTTGTAACATGACAGTACACAGTAAAGCCACCCACACCAGTAGAGGGCGATCGGCAACACATGGGCTTAAGGCAACCATGGCTTACTCATAGTTTATCACAAAGAGAGCCAATAGGACATGGCTGGTGGCCACAAATTGCCCCAACCAGAGGATGGGACTGTCTTCCTGAGTGCAGCTTAAATCATGCATTGAGGAGTAGGTCGGGAGGAACAGGAAAGGCCAGGCCGCTGGTGCCTAGTCTTTCTGCCCATGTGACTACCGTTGAACGACCATCCTGAAGATAATCCTGCTTCCCAACCAACCCCATTGCATATTTTTTGCCTTTTCCCTTAATGAACGTTGACAAACAGATAAGGCAATGGGAGAAGGAGGAGCTACTAGGACCCCAACAGGCGGTGTGCTGAGTGCCAGAAAACTAAAATACAGGCTAGAGCTCTTGTGCAATTATACTACTATACATAAGTGTATATATTTTTCAATCTGTTACACTTGAAATCATGAGAATTATTTAATCTATATGAATGTATGCTCTACAAGGTGCCTGTCAGTAAGCATACTGTATGAACAATTAAACCTTTCTATATTTACATTTGCCTTTATTTATTTTGCAGATGTTTTATCCAAAGGGACATACAAGTGAGAAAACAGGATGAGACATTCCCTGGAGCAATTTGGGTTAAAGGCCTTGGACTTTACTAGTCACAAGATATAATGACTCTTTTGTTTTAAGAATATGTTGATGCAAAAACAGATTTTTTTTCATCATTATTTTCCACTGCTGAATCTGCATCACCTTGTAACCCGAAGATAATTTTTCCAAAAGAGTTTGCACTTGATATACTTTCCTATCAGGTTTGCCCTAAATGTACACTGCTGTACACTATTGATCCTGTATTGATTCTCTGTTCTAGTAACATCTAAGTAACTTTGTAATTTAATTGATCAGTTGAATGGGTAAGTTTGTAGTGAAACTTATATAATTCCACCGAATTTCAGAGTAAATGGAGAACTTGTAGAATCTCATGTAGACAATTTGTGAATAGTAAAGGGTTTGTGTTAACTGTCCATGACAAATAAAACTCCTCATATTCATCTGTCATTAAGTTTCATATATATTGGAATGTTTTTACTCAGACTGGAGGACTGCTGTATTTCTATTTTCTTATTTTTTTATTTAGGATTTTTTTATTTACTTACTTCCTCAAGAGAAGGAGAGGGAGAGAGAGGGGGGAAAAAAGACATTTTAAAACTTCTTTTTCTGCATTCTTTCAGTTGGCAAGTCAATAATCAGTTAACTCATTCCAGTAATGTCAAGTGCTAGAGTCACATGGACTCTGTGGACTGGGAAATAACCAAAGCATACAGAATATGCTGACCATCTATATTCAGTAAAGTACTATACACAGAATTTTCCAGAAAAAAACCATTCTTTGTTACTTAAATTTGTATGTATGTGTTTTATATAGTTTTTATATTTAAATTTTAATACCCCCATGTTACAGGAGAATTCGTAGTGGGTGGTGCTGTTGCCTTACATGTGAAAGGCCACAGGTTTGAAAACCTGTTTAATGCTGAAACCAAACCAATGCCTTGGAAAATTGCCTTGTTATCTATCCCATCTTGCTCTCCATGAGACGTACGCACAGGTAAGCGGAGAAGTCTCAAACTCACCAGCCACATATGTTGATTCTACATGGCCCATAAAATATTTTTAATTAATTATTAAATCCAGTTGGTCGACCTTTCTTATTCCATTTTGTAATTTTACTCTTCAGTGACCTGCATAAACTTCTTATGGAATATTGATGTTACATTGTTTATTCCTCCCTCCCTCTCATTTCACTTTTAGCTCATAAAAATAGCTTGCATGGTCCCCTGGGAGAAGTCCTCCCAGCCAGTGGCCCCCAGGTCATTTGAGTTTGAGACCCTTTAGTAAGAGGAAGTTTGGGGTGACAGTGGAGGGTTGGTCATGCCTGAAGCAATTGTGGTTAAACGCCTTGCTCAAGGACCCAGTGGAAGCATCACTCTGCCAAAGCATCTGAACCAGCGACCTTCAGATCACAGGCACACCGACTCACACACTGCTATCCTCAAATAGCCCAAAGACATTCAGTTAGGACTGGCATCCCATCCAGGGTGTTCCCATGTTGTGCGGCCTATTCTACCTGTGAACCTGTAGCCTACTGGGTAATTGGTCTGAAAGCAAATAGAGGGATTTATTGTGTTTTTTTTTGGTAGTTATGTCTACACATGGACACTTTAGGGTTTCAACTCCAGCTCCATTAATCCAGTACAACGTTACCCTTTTAAATGTAATTTTCTTTTTCGAGTTTTGTACTGTAGCATTGTCCATAAACTTTAAAACTTCTTGTATGTCCTTAATCACAATACTGTCTTTTGAGATTTGTATCTCTTATGGGTAAGGAGTAACTGCAGGAGTACCGCATATGAGCACGATGAACACTGAAGTATAACAAGTATGTTGTAGGATCGGGGGAGCCATTAGTAGCTCATTCAGGTCTTTGTTAAATTTCAAAATTT